GTTGCCAAAACGGCAGGGCTTCTGCAGCCAAACGCTGCCTGAGCCACCAGGCAGGCAGGGCTGCCAACAAGGCGGGACTGGCAGAGGGACAAGAAAGGCGGCACTGGCATGAACAAAGAAAGGCGAGCACCGATTTTTGTACCCCCAAAAAGCGAGGCGGCCCCCTCACCTTGTCCAGATCCATGTCCCCCACGATCGTCACGCTCACGCTGCCCACCGCATCGTCGTGGTGCTTGTGGCTGTGGCCGCCATGGGAGTGGCTCTCGTGGCTGCACCCCGCCCCCGCGCACTCGTGGTCGCTGCCGCTGCTGCTGGCGGCGGCGCTGGCGCCGGCGTGCTCGTGGGAGTGGTCGTGGTCGTGGGAGTGGGCCTCGTGGCTGTGGGAGTGGCTCTCATGGCTGCAGCCGGCGCCGGCGCAGTCGTGGTCGTGCCCGTGCTCGTGCTCGTGCTCATGGTGGTGGTGGTGGTGCTTCTCCTCAGCCATCACCTGCGCCGAAAGGAAGCCGGGGGGCGGGTGGGCGGGTGGTGGGAGGGGAGGAGGCATCGGGCGAGGCAGGGCGGAACAGCCGTGAGCAGCAGGCCAGGCTTGCATGCAGCCCCCGAGATGAGCAGCAGGCCAGTTGAGCAGCAGGGCCAGAGAGTAGCGGCAGGCCAGCCGCAGGGAAGCAGCGCCCCAGCTGGCCAGGGCGGCAGGCCAGGCCCGGAAGGGCAGCAGGCCTGGCCAGGCAGGAGGAAAGCGCGGCCAGGAGGAAAGCGCGGCCCCACCTGGTCCTCCACCTTCTCCAGCTCAAACCCGCCCACCCTCAGCACATACTCCACAGGCACATCGGCACGCTGGGCACGCCTGCGGGGGAGGGCCAGGAGCGACACGCGGCGGCGGCAGGCGGAGCAGGTTGGCACAAGTGCGCATGCCGGCGCCGGCCTCGCCACCACCAAACACACGCAGCACCTCCAATCCACACCCCACCACACACTCCCACACCAGACCAAAGAGGCCCCCCCGCCGACCTCCGCCATGCTGTCGCTGCCCCTGCCCAGCCCACGCCTGCGCCGCCTACACTGCCTGCCGCCGCCGCCGCCGCTGCCGCCGCCGCCGCTGCCGCCGCCGCCGCTGCTGCCGCCGCCATGCCCATCGCCCGGCCGCACGCACGCCAGCCCGCCAGCCCGCCGCCAGCCAGCCAGCCAGCCAGCCAGCCCCCACAGCCCGTATGCCAGCCGCTGCCTGCCGCGCCGCCGCCGCCGCCCACCACCACCACCATGCCTGCGCCCACGCCCACGCCGCCTGCCGCCGCACAGCCCGCCGCCGCACAGCCCGCGCCTGCCGCTGCCGCCGCGCCCCCTGCCGCCGCGCCCCCCTCTGCCTCCTCCCCCGCCCGCCTGGACCCGCAGGAGGCTGAGGAGTGGTGCACCATGGAAGGCGTCATCGATCAGCGGGGCAGGGGGAGTGGCACGCGGTACCTGTGCCGGTTTGAGGGGTATGGCGCGGATGACGACATGTGGCTGCCGC